AGCTCCAGGGAGAGCTCTCAGCTGCTGATGAGCCTTGGCCACAGGTGCTGTGTCAGGGCCAGAAAGGCAGGACTTGCACACTTGCTCTAGGCACAGCTACACTGAGCTCCATCCAGCTGAGATTTTCTGGATTGTGTAACCAAGCCGCCAACCAACAGAGAGGGCGCGAGAGAGAGGGAGCTGCACAGCCATAGCACTAACCGAGAGGCCACTAGTCTCTGTGGATACCACCAGTTCTGGTGTGTGCTGTTGGTGGACACACTTTTGGGGATCGTGGCCTGCCTTGACTTCAAGTGTGAAACACATTTTTTCCAGTTATATATGTGTATGTACGCACGCATCTGTGTGTGTGCTAATATTCAAACTTTTCTCTGAAGAGAGCATTTCTTCTTCAATTTCCGTCCTGCTGCCATGTTGTCCTAAATTCATGTATCCCATACAGTACAGAAAATGGAGGCTTCTGAGCTATATTTACTGCAACTATTACTACAAGTACTGTAAACTCGATCAGGTGGCTGTCACAGCTCTTTTAGAAGAAGTATTTCTCTACTTAAAGCTTAAAGCTCCCTGGGACCAGTATAGGAACAGGCTGCCCTATCAACTCYTGCAGCCTTATTAAAACTAAAATTCATTAAAAGAAATAAAGTGGCCGCTGATCTGGCACCTAGATGGCCATACTGCTTCGCTGCCCCTGTCSATGGTGTCACCGTTAGCCAGCCCCGGGACTCACGCTCTCCGCAGGGCCTCAAGCTCCGCATTTCAGCGGCACGTCGGGACATTCCCTGCACTGCCCAGGAGAGGCTGGGCAAACCGGGATGCTCCCCACATGGTCCTGGGCGACAGGAGAGGCACCATAAGAGCGCGGGATCCCTCACCTTCAGGGACTGCAGGCATCCCGGCTGTGCCGTTTTCCTCATCCTACTGTTACAGCACATACCTAACACTGTTAAACACCCAAAAAAAACATATGAGAGCTATTAATTAATAACTAATTAACACGGTTAAATGTTCTATATGTCCGCACTTGGTTAAACATTTAATTCTGGTTCCATTTTGCTTTCCAATAATTAGAAGACAAATTATCCAGCTCAACTTGGAAAACACAAACAACAAAGCCTTATTAGTCTCAACTGGAGAAATTGTTCTAAACAAATTAATGAGAATGGGCTTTGCTGTTCATTTGTATGACTTTCTCACTGAATTGCCTACAACATACAYTTTTCTGTAAAATTATGTAGGCAAGTCCAAAATCCTATTAAAACTGTAAAATGACTAWACATTTCATGAGCCTAAAGAATCTTACAAAACTTTTGAGTTCAAAATATCAAAATGCTTAAAATAGCAGTTGGCTTCCCAAAGCTTTAGGATTGCCAATTACCTTGTATAGTAGTAATTTTAGATTGGCAATATCAGGATCAGGAAATGAAACAAGAACTGTTGCACTTTTGAGAACTTGGTTTCTGAATACAACATTACCTGCTGAGAGGGGAGTGTATTTTGACTCTGAAAATATAAATATGGTGAGCAACCAYGTGAGATGGAGACTTGTTAGTCCCTGCATGGAAAATAGGGATGGAGAAATTTTTCTCCACACAGGTGTCTATTGGGATTTTTGCATTATTCCACCTACCTCTAAGGAATAAATAAATCCCAATATTAAAACGTATTCATGATATTACCTCCCAATTGTCTACTTCCAGAAAACTTTCTATAGAGTTGCATCCATTGAATTTGCACCTAAGTTAATRCAATATGTATGTAATTATTGATAATCAAAAATTAACTTTTTTTCCAGACGTAGGAAAAAAATGCAGCCGATAGTCAGACTGGATTAGTGCCTTGGCAATGGTTTACAGAGGCACAGTATAAAGTTATGTAGCTTTTTGCAAAGTCACGGAGCTCAAACATCTTGTAAAGTCTATTTTTCTACTATTTTTATTTTTGAATCTACTTTTTTGGGGGGCAGTGCATCCCATCGTACCAGCCCTGTTCGATGCGAGCACTGAGCGCAGCCCCTGCACCACGACGCTCCCTCCTGCCTCTCCCCACAGCCCCGAGAGCAGAATCGCTCTTTGTGGGCCTGGAGGTCCCATCTCAACCCTAGTGATTCCCATTCCTGCTCCATCCCAGGGCTCCCGCAGGCAGCCCGGAGCTCCTGGTTAGGAAAGCAAAGGAGGGGAGAGGGCAGCGAGCAGAGGCTGCGCCAGCCAGCACCGCTCCAGACGTGCGGTGGCTGCTCCGTGAACCAAATCGGGTCATTTTCCTATCTGAATTGAAGGCAGCAGCTGCAAAACAGTTTGCTGCTCTGCACAGGCAGCCTGGGCTGGGCTCAGGTCTCTGCAGCAAGCACGGGGGTCTGCAGGCACCCACCTTCGGCCCCCCTGCAAGGGCTTTAGCTTTGCCASGTACCCCCACACCCATCAGGTCTGGTTAGAGAAGAGGGTGCCACAGAAGCTGCCATTTCCAAGATACCCAAATTGCTGCTTTTGGGGGAGGGCAGCTGGGGCACAGGGAGGGYGTCACAGTCAGACGGAGCAGGATTGAGTTTTGCTGCTGGCAAGGGAGCATCGTACCTCCGGATTCCCTGCAGGAGTGTCTGCTATCCATATACATCCCTGCAAGGGGACAACTCGCTTGTACGTTCCAGTCATCCTGGAGCAGTTTGGGGCTGATTGCCACTGCCTTGTCCCTTCCTCCCAGGGAGGGCACAGACCAGAAGACRTCACCTTTGGTGCCTTGGGGACTTGCAGCTTGGTCTTCAGCATCCATGGGTATCCTGGTGCAGGAGGATTCCAGCCTGCAGGAATGCAAGGGAGAAGTCAGCCGCTTGGCTTGCTCCTGATCCAGGAGTCCTTCAGCCTGATTCTTCACTGAATTTTAGTTTTCTGCCCCAAGAAGCTGGAACCTCCCTTTCTCCTGTTGTACAGACACAGCAGCCTCTAGCACCCTGTGCTGTGTCACACATTGCTAAGGGCTCAGCCTGTCCRCTCTGTCAACAGCAATGACTGTAACTGCCACCAGCTCTGAAACTCATCTTTTCCTGGGATTCAGGCCCAGAGCTTAAAGCAGAAAGAGTTCAGAAAGAACAGGACCTCCCCACGGCACATCCCAACAGAGAGGGCAGAGCCTCCTGGCAGGCTGAAGCCAACCCAGATCCATTGAAAACTGGTGACATGAGTGCACCACTGAAGCACCAGGTGACCAGGCCAGCAGCAGCAAAGCAGCCTTATTCCATAGACAATTCCATAAGCATCATAATTTTACCTTGCTTAAATGTGGTTTGAAGAGGTGGGCAAGAGGAAACCACCTGCCCAGAGCAAGGGCAGAAGTCAGGGAACCAAGTGTGGCACCATCACCACATGCATCCCCCAGACTCCCAAAAGATCTCAGTTCCAGAGCAGAGCTTAAGGAGCCAGGCAATTTCCACCCTTAACTATCCTCAGGTGTGGGATTTGGCCCAGGGTAACCTGGTGATAATTAACTGCAGTCCTGATAACCGTTATTGCAGCTGAGCCAGCTCTTAATGCTGGCAGATAGTGGTGACCCTGTGTTTGCTTTTGGGGGCTCAGGTGTTTTTGAGAAYAAGATATTTGCCACCTATGGCTGCAGTGCTATAAATGAAGCTGCTGCCCTAAGTGTGTGTGTGGGAGAGGCTCCAGTGGCTGGGCTGGTGGCATTGCTCCTGCACGTGCCCCTGTTTCCTCTGCCAGCGCCTGGGCTCCAGCCCAGACAGCACCATCACTCACCTTCAAAATAATAATAGTAACAGTAAAAAACTCCAGTGAAATCCAACTCTTCCTACAAGCATAACATCCAGCTGATACTCAGCCGAGTATTTTGCTAGCCTCTGATTTTGCAGAGGCTTTTTATATCATTGCGGACACTTTTTATATCATGGCACTGGATAATACACCCACAAAAAGGTATTTTTTTGTTTTCCTTCTGCATGCCCCACRGTTGTGAGAATCACTGCATATAAACTTGCTATTAAACCTCTCTCATTTAGAGAGTCAATGTGCCAATCAGCTAGGAATAATGAAATAATAAATTTGGGATGAATGATTAAGACGCAGCAGTGAGTTGGAGCTCGAGAAGGGCGAGGACACGGAGGCAAGAGAGGTGCAAGGAGCCCGTCCAAGCAAGAGCTTGCAGAAGCAACAGGGGTGAAATGCGCTGCTTTTTCTSCTCCCCCAAATTTCCTAATTAGTTCATGCTCCAGTTTTTGTGGGGTTGTGTTAAATCTGAGGACTTCAGTTAGCAGGAGGAGCTGCATCTGTTGGCACGGCATGTACATTTGCTCACACGCATTGAAGCCTTCTGCTGGGCTCGTCCGGGGCTAACGCCGCTTTTTCCTGCCTTTTTTCTTTCTTTCTTTTCTTTCTTTCCTTTTTTTTCCAGGCTTTTTCAGACTGCTGTAACATTAAAATCTTTCATGCTTGGGAGAAGATTAATTTGTTTGTCTGGAAACAAACAACGCGAAGTGCCTGGGGCGCTTTGCTGTTTCCTTTGCTCGGCACCAGAAGCCTTTCCCCGCCTGCGGCTCACTGGGCAGCCTCCCTCGCCGCTCCGCTCCGCAGCGCTAGATTATTTATGAATAAAGGCGCCCGGGGAGGAAATGGCACATCGGCTAGCAAACAATGCGCACTTTCTAAATTTGAACCCAGCCGCTTCCGTTCTTTGATTTAAGTTTAGTTACTTCCCGTGGCTCCGCGTCCGCGCCGCCGCCGCTGCCGCCCTGGCTCCGCTCCAGGCTGCATGGGGCTCCCTCGATGGCCCCGAGCAGGGTGCTGGGCGGCCCCGCTTGCAGGCAGGCTTTGCCGGCGGGCGCTTGCTGCGCTCGCAGCTGCTCGCAGGGCGCTGTGGCCGGCAGCTTTGGGCCCCAGCAGATTCCAAGAGCGCGAGTCCCGCTCATCAGAGCTCGGCTCTGCGGAGGGTGCAGAGCAGCTCAGTAACGCTGTGTCTCCGTTTTTTCCCCCTTTTTGTCCCCTCTGCTTCTCCAGGACAAGTAGGAGCCGTTTCCCACCCGTCGCCGCCGCCGATGGAGCCCCGCGCGCCCGTGGGCCGCCCGGCCGCGCCGCAGCCCTTGGCGGAGAGCCGCGCGCCGTGCGGGAGGCCGCAGCCCGCGCTGCCCATCGAGCACGTGCGCGCGGCGCGCGTGGAGAATGACTACAGCGAGCAGCCCGCGCGGCCCCGCGGCGCCCGCCTGCCCGCGCGCGGCCCCGCGCACGCCACGCACCCCTGGATCTCCCTGGGCGGGCGCCCCGGCTCCGTGAGCAGCAGCGGCAGCGCCTCCTCGGAGCAGCGGTTGCTGGAGCACGGGGCACCGGGCGCCGCGCCGGGCTCCCCGCGCCGCCCGCCCGCCGCCTGCAAGGCCGCCGAGCTGAAGGCGGCGGCGGCGCCGGAGCCGCACGCGCTGCTGTGCGAGGCGTGCGGCAAGTGCAAGTGCAAGGAGTGCGCGGCGCCGCGGGCGCTGCCCTCGTGCTGGGTGTGCCGGCAGGCCTGCCTCTGCTCYGCGCAGGGCCTCGTCAACTGCTCCACGTGCATGTGCCTCGTCAAGGGCGTCTTCTACCACTGCGCCGATGAGGACGACGAGGGCGCGGGCGCCGACCAGCCCTGCTCGTGCGCCCATGCCGACCGCTGCGCGCGCTGGTCCTTCATGAGCGCGCTCGCCCTGCTGCTGCCCTGCTTGCTCTGCTACCTGCCGGCCACCGGCTGCGTGAAGCTCTCGCAGAGCTGCTACGACCGCCTGCGCCGCCCGGGCTGCCGCTGCCGCCACACGAACAGCGTCCTCTGCAAGGAGCCCCCGGGCGGCAAGGCCGCCAGCGCCGACAAGCCCTTCTGACGCCCAGCGCGCGCGCGCCAGGGCTGCGCGCTCGGCTCCGCCGCCCGCTCTGTCCCCACGCGGCCTCGTGCCCGCGCCCGCGGCGGGAGCAGCTGGACTGAAGCCCTCGGTGCTTTGGGAGCCCGTCTGGACGGGAGCRCACGGGTTGTCGCTGGCAGCCAGTGACGCTGCGGAGCGGATGGGACCCACGGCGGCTGCGGAGGAGCCGGCCCCGCACGAGCTGCCCCTCGCCCTGCTCGGGCCGTGCCCGACCCGCTGCATCCGCATGGGCAGCAGGGTCGGCTCTCGCTTTCCTTGGAAACCCCGGTGCGTTACCAGCAGGGAACGGGTTCGCTGCGCTCTCCCTCCTCCCGCGCGTTCTGCCTGTTGCACACACGGGCCGCCTTCCCCTCGTCCCTCCACGGCCTCCGTTGGCACCCGTTTGCTGCGGGTCCTCAGCACGCAGCCGGCGGCTCTGCGTCCATGACCAGGGGCTYGCGGGTCCCGGGGGAGCCGGAGCTGCTCCCTGCGCGCCGGGGCAGCGAGGAACGGGCCGTGTCCAGGGCGTCCCGCCGGGGAGCCTGTCTGCAGCATCGCGCTTCACCCAGCGCTTTCTAGGCCCCCATTCCCCGCGAGCGGGCGAAGCTGCCCCGGGAGAGTGTGGTCCGCGCGCTGCTGCCCAGCGAGCCGTGAGCACCTGTGTGCAGGGCAGCCCGGGCGGTTGCAGGGGTTTGTAGGGGTGTCTCCTCTCCTCTCCTCTCCTCTCCTCCTGCAGCAGGCTCCTTGCTCGGGACACTGGCTGGTCATTTTATCTTTTCTCAGCACGGGGCAGTGGTGCTGGAGTGCAGTCCCTCTGCGCTCGCGTTGCTGCTCCTCATGTCCTGCCTCTTCCGTGCCAGCGCGTCCCTGCAAAGGCAGCGGGTGCTCCCGAGGGTTATTTTGGTGTTACCGAAACCTGCCCCTTTCCCTCCACAACTACAAGGTGCTAAATCAAAACCTGTGTGCAAACATGCAGCGCTGGTGGGGAGGTCGGTACTTGTTGCATGCTCAGCACTCATCCAGTCTCTTTCCTTTTTTTAGAGGAAATTTCCTCGGCAAATGCTCCGCAGTGACAGTGAACTGTCCCCTGYGGCTGGCTAAGCGCTCGGCAGAGCCCCGTAGCTCTCCCGGGGCCGCGGGACGGGGCTGCAGGCCCCGGCTCTGCCCTTTCCAGAACTCGCTCGGCCTGGGGGCTCGGCTCTTGGTTACGTTTCTCTGTAGATATTTATTGCGTGGGGAATTACAGAATAAAAAAAGACACTTTTTGTATTTATTACACTTGCTGGGCGGCGTTTGCTCGAGCAGGAGGGGTTCTGCATCCGTGAGCGGCCGCGGATCCGCAGCCCTCCGGGGCGCAGGGCGCAGGGAAGGACGTGCGGACGGGAGCTGATGTCACCTTGCGCAGGGGACAGGGGACAGGGGAGAAGCGCCCCGAGCAGCTGAGCTGCTGGCKGAACACGTTGTGTGCGACAAGGGCCATCCTCTTCCTCGGCTCCCGCTGCCGTCAGGGCTTTGCAGGGGCCGCTCGCCYGGCGCTGTACATAGCCGCCCCGCTGCGCCCGCTCCCGCGCCCTTCTTCTCCCTTTTTCTCCCCAAATGCAGCTCGCGAGCGCCCCTTCCAAGGTACCACGTGCAGGGGAGCCCCCGGYCCCAAAACGCTCCTGCCGAAGGGTTCCTTTGTACAGAATATTTATTTTGAAGCTCTATTTTAATAGTATTTATTTTAGAAAGTTGAATATTGTAAGAGTTCTTCTGTTTGTGAAGAAAACAAGTACTGATGAATGTACTGATCTAGAAATGATATATATATAAAATATATATATTGTTAAATATACAAACGTCTGTTGCATTTTTTCCCTATAATTAAGTGTAAACAGCTATATAAAGGTGTTTCTAGGAATTACCCAGAAGACAGAGGCTCAGGGCAGCCCCGAAGCGGAGCGCGATGCTGAGCCCAGCGGGAGAGACCCCGGCCAGGATGATCCCGCTGCCATGGGGGCTGCTGCTTTCCAGCYGGGATGACCCTGGAACGAGGGCGAGTTTCCCCATGCCGGAGGCTGGGGAACAGGGCCGGGACCCGTTTCCAACCGTGCAAGRCCAAAAGGAACCAAATGGGACCCAGGAGCAGAGCTCAGCACGTACCAGGCATCCCAGTTCAGCACCGAGCTCCTGGCGTTCAGATCAGGAATCCTGGGGGACTGCAGAGCCTGTGGCCTCCGCTGAGCTTGCTTTGCGATTCCCCTGAAACACACTCGGTTAAATAGGTCCTTAAGAAAGCCACCGAGGTTTCCCTGAGGATAACAGCAGCTGGAGGGCTTATGTGTTGCACGGATGGGAGGGGGATGCGGCAACAAGCAAATCCCTCGGGATTTCCCCCTCCCTTTGCGACCAGGAATAAACAGAAGTCGGTGCAGGGAGCGGTGCTCGTGAATAATCCRTGCGGGCGCACGGCCTGGGATGGTGCTGATCGTGCCGTGACGCAGTTTGTCCTAATGGGAAACACTCGGCTCTTCTTAGAGTCCCAGMCCGGGGTGTTCTGTGCCACGTCCCAGCGCTTCCATCGCGGCACCATCGCAGGGTGGCCGAGGCGCGTGCCGCCTTTGCCGCTGCGCAGAGCCACGAGCTTCCCGGGACACGTGCGGCGGCCGCGGCTCCGGGAGCGGAAACCCGGAGCGAGCTGGACAATGGGAGGAACCCGGGAGCCGCGCGCCGCTCCGCTGGGAAGCGCGATGCCCCGGCACTCCGCGCTCGCTGTCGGGGGAAGCAGGCAATAAATAAAGAGCAGCCGGGCTGCTACAGGGAGGATGTGAGCTATCCATGAAAAAAATTCCTGGGCTTTTTGAACTCTGTTTGAAGAGGCAACATCCCGGCCTCCCCTCTGGGAGTCCATCCCAGGGGAAGAGACCTGGGAAAGGTGCCAGGAGCGGGGAAGCTCCAAGATGGGCTTTGGATTGACATTTTGTCTCCATATATATATATATATATGTATGTGTATTTTATATTTATATATATATGTGCTGTTAAGGCCAGGCGAGCTGCGCGGCCCCTCACTGCCTGCCTGGGATTTGGGGATTTGCTGAGCCTGCAGGGCCCGTCTGACAAAGCGGGCTGCACAAACCAGACCGGGCGCAGGCTGGCAACGCTCTCAGCCTTGTTTTCTTTCCCTTTTTGTTTTTTGCTTTTTTTCCCTTCTCCTTTTGCTTAAGTCAAAGCCTCCCAGAACGGAGAATTTCCGATGGTTTCCAGGGAAGCCACCCAGATTCCCTCAAACCAGGTCCAGACTGAACATCTCCTCCAAGCGGCAAATAAAACCTTGGCTAAGCACACTTAGGCATTTCCAGCACCAAATTTGCCAGAACCCTTATATAAAAAAAAAAAAGCTTTAGAAAAGGCAGCGCAGTGAAGCCCTGCTCCCTGTACCCGAAATCCTCCTCCTTCCTCTCTGAAGCAGAGGCCCCTGTGCCGGGCCTGGCCGAGGCTCAGCGGCGCATTCCCAGGGGAGCAGAGCGGCGTTTCCCAATCCCTGGCTGCGGAGGGAGGTCGAGGCCGTGTCCTCCGGTCGGGCCTCTTGCCGGAGGCAGATCCGAGCAAGGCCGGGCCGGGCAGCTGGACGGGACGCGTGGACGGTGCCCGGGGCGCCCCGCGCTGCTCGCACGGCTCCCGGAGCGGCGGCTGCAGCACCCGGGGCTTGCGGGGCTTAGTGGGGAGCAGCAGGAGCGACTTGCACCTCCAGCTTCAAGGGGCGCCACCAAGAGCCGCTGGGTCTCTCATTGGGGCCCCAGGGGTCTCTYGAGAACAGCAGCAAAACGCGAGGATGAGGATGGGCTGCCTTCCCCATCGGCCATCCCTGTTCCAGCCACATTGCTGGGAATGGGATCTTCCTGGGACAGGCGTGCGCTGCCCTCGGCACCTGTGGGCAAGGGGAGGCAAARGGGCACCAGAGCCCCCCAGAGGTTATAAATAACTGGAAATCACTTGTTTTCCCCCCTCACCTTGTGTAAAATCCAATAAAAAATAAAAAATAATGCGGTGGGTCCCTGGGGGAACCGCAGCCCTGCCCGCAGGCTGGCCTAGGGAAAGGGGAGCCAGGAGGAACACACGCAGCACCGGGGTCCGAGGCTGCMGGCCACCAAACGCAGAGGCAGGAATGCCAAATATTCCACTTCTCCGAATGCACAAGACCAAATAAGGCCCAAGTGCCAAGAGAATAAACACCAGGCGAATCTACCAAGTTTGGGCAAATGTGAATCAGAGCTACAGATTTTGCCTTGCAGGATAAACTTAATAATTCTCCCCATGTAAACTGCTTCGTGTTTGAAAGGGAAGTCTCTGTGCAACCTTCAGGCCCATACATTTGTGAAGCCCTGCGTGAGCCAAAGCTACGAATAAAGCATTTCACAAAGTGGCTAAATTATGCATGTGAGGCAAAATAACAAGCTGAAAGAAAGAACCACCTTAGCCCTGGCAATCCTGGCTCCACAAAGCAAGGAGGATACCTTGAGGTGAAGGGAATCACACTTGTCTTATACCTTCTGTGGAAAGCAAAGAAATGCCATCAGATAACCTGCATTTGTAATCAATACCCAGAAACCACAAAGTATGTAACCTAAATTAAACAACAATCTACAGCAAACATTGCTACATAAGTGACATTTATTAATGTTCTGCTATATTTACAGTTTTAACATAGTAAAACTCCAAAGTGAATTACCACTTGGCAGAAAGCACAGAAGTGCACATTAAATCTACATTTATAACACATCATAGTCTCTGCTAACATAAATTATAAAAGCAAGAACGACAGGTATGTTAGGAATTGTCTCAGAAGTCCCAAGCCAAAGGGGAAAAAAATAAAGAAAAAGGCCTTTGTTTTGCAAGATTATTTTTTATACAAAGTTGCAGCGTGACCTTTCTTCTTTACACTACCAACATGTGAAAACCCCTATATAGTCCAAATAGTAGGTAGTATGAAAGTAAAGTATACTAGAACATGTAGAATATAGACTATTAAAAAAAGAAAATGAATAACTGTGCTGCCTGGGGAACAGAGCGCTCTTCCAGCGAGGCCTTAACAGCCGCCCCCCGAGGTGCCACCTCCGAGCCCGTCCGCTCGGCGCCGCGTCCAGAGCCGCTCGTGGGATGGGGACGGGGACAAAACACAGCGCGACGGTGCCCTGCTGCCTCGGGGGCCGCCGCTCATGCTACCCACACTACTACAGGTACTCTAGAATAAGGCTTTATTAGCACGTCACAGACTCGATCGCGATAGCTTGGTCAGACATTAGCCACTAATGATTCAAGGATTACAGAATTCTGCATTAGTTATTAAAATTTTACACCTAGAAACAAATAGAAAGAAATTCTTCTCCTCCTCTTTTTCTTTTTTCCTTTCAACAGTACTTTTATTTATTTAAAGCAGGTGATTATTTTTTCTTCTGCTCCAGAGTCTCCATTCACTTCCTGCAGGTGTCCTGTTACTGCTCGGGGGAGAATTCACTAGCGCAGGAAGACATTTGCCAGAAAACATCTGCTGGAGAAGGATATTGGACATTGAAACACTAGAATTAGCTTGTTATTTTGGATACCGGAGGATGTAGTTCACAAAGAGTGCAGGATGTCTAAAGGCTTATGAAATATCTCCTGTGCAGTGCCACGGCTCCAGCAGTGCCACGGGGCTCTGTACTTCTGTGCACGTTTCACATGCCTCAAGAGTTAAAAACTTAAATGCTCTGTGGTTTTTTCTCCCAGAATATAGGATTAAGGACTTATTTTCAGTGAAACTGTCAAAGTCATAGTTTTTAGATGTGATACTGGACATTGATCTCAATAGATCTGTAAGAGACAGAGCCTTTGGAAAGTGCTAAAATGACAAAAAAAAATCCTTACAAGCCTTTTGCAGGGCTCAGTCAAGGTATCTACCATTACCATTGCATTTCCTAACATAGGTCTTAAAGGCTGCACAGTAAGAAACCACATAGTTCCTATAATAAATAAAAAATAGCATTYAGTAAAGAAGAAAAACAGTGCTCACCGAACAGAATAAACTACAGGTGAAACTGCTGATRTTTAAATGCTCAAATTACGTGACCCGACAACTGGGGGAATTAAACCTGCTGGTGACTCAGCAGGATTTGAGAGGCTACCACAAATCCTGGAGGAGTTCAAAAGGAAAGCCTGCCATAAAGCGGCTGCTTTGTTCAACCAACCAGAGCAGGAGCCACCACCACTGAAAAACCCCAACTGCAAACCACAGCACAAGGCTTGTGTGTGCCCGCTGCAGCCTGAGAATGAAACAGAACCTCATGGCATTTGCATTTGCTAAGAAAAAGAAAGTGGATTTGAAATATTAAGCCTTGGTTTAAAATTCTGAGCAATGTAATGATAAAAGCCTGGATTTGTTTGCTTTCCTTATATCACTGTTGCAGCTCCAACTGTTTCAATTCTATCTTGGGGAAATTTAATGTTGTCACGATGCTTCCAAGGGAGCATCACGTAGCACTCGCCATCTGGGAAGCAACCTATTACAGGAACCTATTACAGGATTTCCCTGCCCTCAGGGAGGAGCAGTTAATGCAAAGCCATCATCTGTTGCACCAAGGAAATCATGCTAGAAGGATATGAGTACTTTTAAGATCCCACTAAAAAAGTAAATTTGCTAAGGTTCAGCTGTGAAGACTTTTACACATTATGGTTTTGTTGTTGTTGTTTTTAAATGGTCAGGTAAGCCAGTATGTTCAAAATACGTGGGAGTGGTTTCCAAGGAGAACGAGCGTGCAAGGGTTGAATTTCTCCAGGAACTTGGCAGACAATTCCAACAGCACACAAAGTTCAGACAAACTGTTTTCGCTGGGACATAAGCCAAAGACATCGGCATAATCTTCTACCCACATTTCGTCTGTGACCTTTACTCATGTTTAGGACATTCCATATGTTTCAGGCATGTTCCTGATTCAGAAAGACCCACCTGCCAAAAACAGGGTTGCACTATGGGGCAGAGACTCTGTTTTCACAATTCAACTCCATCTAAATTCTTCAAAGCAAAACCTGGAGGAAACGTCAAGTATTCCTCTGCTTGCAACCACATCAATATGCACTCTTGCCCTGCCGATCTGTAGAAATAGGGCTGTGTTTGGGATCCCAAGAAAAGCTTATGTTTTCTATTACCCTGTGTTCTAAAAATATTGAAGCCTGAGTCACCGAATTGAGTCAAAAAGAAAACAGAAAAAAAAAATCAGGAAAGCAGAAAGTTTACCTTTAGTAAATAAAGAGAACTCTGGTTCTGGGGAGAGTGGAAAATGTATCTGGCATCTTCCTAACCTTTGCATAATTAATAAATCCTCTGAGAAACAGCAGAAAACCTAGATGAAAGAAACACATTGGTCCGGTTAACACAGATTTTGTTTTTACAACTAGAGAAACAGCAGTTCAGCTCAACACTACCACCACAGGGAGCCCTAACATGATGAGATGTGCAGTAGCTGATTGATTAGAAGAATATTTTAGCATCAGTGACACCCAATCTCTCAATTTCATGCAATCCTAAAAGCAAACTTTCCTGAGAGGTCTTCTAGCCAACTGCCAAACTTCTCAGTGCTCATGAGTCAATGTTGGTGCTACTTTGCTGGTACCTTTGTTGGTACCCCCAGAACCAACCTTAAACAAGGCCTTTTCACAGGCTGCATTCCTGTATTTTATTTAGTCAAAATACTCTTCCATTTAAGAGAACAAATTCACCAGCAGTTACTATCAAGACAAGCACCATCCTGCGCTTTCCTCCTCCTGAACTGYAACCGAGATGCTGCCACCAAGAAATGACAACAAAAGCAGTGCCTATGTGTACCTTTAAAACCTCGAAAGCACCCAATAAGAGCATGGCATAAGTATTTTCAGCATTTCAATTTAAACCCAAACATGAGTAYTTGAATAGCCAGTAACTCTACGCTCACAAAAATTAAAACATTATTGCACTTTATAGAGTTTTGAACAGCTAATTCCTCTTCCTCCCCAAACCAAACACTTACCTAGTACAAGGAAAACCCACCAAAGCCAATATTGGCCGTCAAAGTAACCTGGGAAATAGGTGGAGAACTGAAAAATAAAAAATATTTTAAGAGGTTAGAACATTTGAGAGTTTCTGAACCCAAGTCAATGTTGGTCCTCCTCCAGAGCCAAGACAGCTGTCACTTGTCATTACCCTGGTCTTGTCATACACCCCAGTTCTGACCAGTCACCTCTTTCCCTCCCATCTGCTCCAGGGCAGCAGGGAAACACTGGGTCTTTTAACAAAACGGGTAGACACAGACTCTGCTTATATGAAAGATATGGTTAAAAAGGACAGCGTGCTCCCTTCCTCCTCCTCACTGCTGCCTGCAGCCTGCACAGGGCACCAGAGGGCTCCAGCGAGCTTCCCCAGCCACCTGCCTAACGGGACTGTGCTCCACGAGCAAACACACTCATACTTCCCCTTTTCCAGCCCCTATTTCCTTCCCTTCACCAGCCATGCTCACAGGAATCCCCACATTTTAAGGCATATTTATGTTTCAGAGTAGCATGTGAAAAACATCCTACAGGATAAAAAGATAAATAAATAAAAATAAAACAAAAAAGCTCTGCTAACCCCAGTGCTTGCTTTATTTACCAGAATAAATGTTATATGAAGATGAAAATTTTAATTACTGCTCAGCACACAAGCAAATTTTGATCCAATACAATAGTTTAGTTTAAAATAGAAATATTTGGGGATGCAATCTTTAATCTCCTTTATTACAATAATAACCCCAGCATCTGACCATATAAGCAGGGCAGTATGATTAAAAAAGTTCTATCCTCAGTGAATAAGGGCTCAAAATGCACTTTAATAATACGGATGAACTAAAACTGAGCTAGGACAGAAGGCAAAAGAGAAGAGAGTAGCATCTCTGCATGCAGTTTTTTGCACTAAACAACTTACCCTGACAATAAGGATCCACTTAATAAGAGACAGACCGAACCCAGAAATGGCCCCATATCGTCCTGCAGCTGAAGTGGTCAGACAGAAAGACAGGAAGAATCCAATCCAGTTGAAGAGGAATGCCACTGAGAAGGCAAGGAAAAGCAGCAGGTCAAGGCCTCGTCGCATTCCAAGAAAAAACAAATTCCTTGAAACTGAAGCACACAGCTCTTTCCTGGTGCTACATAAAACTAACCACCCTGGCTACTTGGGGTCACCAGCTGCAGAAAGCTCAGCCACATCATGTACTTACTGAAGAAAGTCAGCATAAAGATGCCATCATTTCCTATCCTCAGCTGATCGGTATCATCAAAGTCATCCCGTGTCACAAAGTCATCCTCCTGGAAACCAAAGGTGATGAGAGGATTGAGGACAGTTCAATCCATACAGCAATACAAAGTCTGCATGCAAAGTTCTCCAGGCAAGGGCCAGCAAACCGCACAGCTCGCAGAGAGCAGCGCAAAACGGAGGGACACAAAATGTATGGTTTATATTTCTTCCCCTAAGRGAAGGCAAAAAATCCTAGTCTCCAGAGGTTTAAAATGCAAGCAGGAAACCACCCCCAGGGCATGAAATAACAAGTCAGCGGCAGCAGTTTTTTAGTGCAGCCAAAATTAGGCATGCTCTTTTTCTGACTATAAAAAATTCTCACTCTCATCAGAAAAATTAAAGATATGACCTCAGCAAGGAATTTTAACTCCTAGGAAAAAGCTTAACTAGCACTTGCTGTCTGATGCTAGCAGGGTTGGGGAACAGGTGGAACATAAGATGAAGCTGAAAACAAGGTTTTTTATAYACACACRCACACAYACACACRCACACACACACACACACGTGTGTATTCTGACAGAATGGCTGTATCATTCTTATACAAGCTACAGTGACCTCTGCAAAAGTCAATTTATTAAGTGGAAGAAGCATCAATGGTAGATAGGGTAGCTTTCTGAAAACTCATCTTAAAACTAACAAACCAACCAACCCAACAGTGCCCACAGATGCAGCATGGTGCTTCTGCCAGCTTGCCAGACCATTCGCAGAGCACATCCTGGCACTACGGCATTGCTGAGGTGGCTCACGTTACTGTAACTGCTTGGAATAAATAAATAAATAAATACATAAATAAATGCACCCAGGGGCTTCTTGGGAGCACGCAGTACCACTATCCTAGCAAGTTATACAAGATGTAAGCTGGAGCAGGCTTAAAGCAGTCTGTCCATGCATGGAACCGGGTGGCCCAGCGCACCTACCCTGCCAGGAACCAAGGGAATCGTCGCTTCTGCCTTAGTTCTCTCTGCTTCATCRTAACTAGGCAGTGTTGTGGCCACGTTGTAAGAGGGCGGCTTTGGAAATCCTGACTCATCCTTGTAGTCAAAATAAGCTGCAAAAGAAAATTATATAGGACAATCTGCCAGATCCCGAAGAATGTCCTGCTGGAACAAGAAACGTTTCAGAAGACTTTAAATAGGCTAATACCCCCAAACTTCCAAGTCTGCACTGCCTGTTCCCCCTGCTCCCTTCCAGCCTATTACCACAGGCCGTCCCCCCCAAAAGCTAAGCACACACGAGTGCCTTATCAAATACAAAAAAGCAACACAAAGAGAACTCTTGGCGTGCCTGGCTGCATTCATTTCAAAACAAGACATGCTGTGTCTCTCATGGCTCCAGTAAGGCAGAAGTGTTCATATTTTCAAAGTCCAAAACTCCAACTGGTAGGAGTGAGTCAAGAGAGAATCACTGCAAGCTCCAGGTCACCAGTGACCGGTGTTTCCAGAGAAAGATTCCCAAAGGCTTTCTGCTGGAGGAAAAAGGGATTGCCAAAAAAATAAAATAWAATAAAAATAAAAAAATAAAGCATTTCTCAGCTCCCGTCTCTTAAATGCACTAATGAATCAGAACAGGGACATCTTTATAAAGAGCCCCAACACCTCAATGAGTATCTCACGAAACACAATATTCAAAGCTGCCTGGCTGTTTGAGAGTATGACAACATGTTCCACTTGCTTCCCAAATTCTTTAACAGCTGACTATGGTCTGGAGGGAGAAATGAAGAGATTTACCTAAACAAAAATACATAACGAGCACAGAAAGGAAGTTTCACTAAAGCTATTAGTGAGACATATGACAGTATGATGATTCAGAAAGATAACCCTTATGACCAAGTCTGTGGATACTGAAAACTGCAGAAAAGGTAAATTATTTAATGCTTTTTTAAAATAACAAGTTCTTTTTGGAGGAAGCAGAGTATCACTCAAATGCTGATGGAGCCACAAATCCTCACAGCTCCTTGATTTTAACTGTCTAGAATCTACTAAGAGCACTGAGAAATGCAACGCGAACACCACTTTATGGGATGACATCAGATCAATGCGGCCAAATTGCATCTTCTAAACCACAAGTAACAACAGTCTCTTTGGATCAATTCCGATCCTCTCCAGCCTTCGTCGGGAAGCGGCGATGCCTTGGGTCAATACAGGGAACAATTAAGGAGGTAGGAAAGTGCCGCGGAATGAACGCAGCTACGGAGCCATTTCCTTCGGCTTGGACTTACCTGCATTCTCCGTGGAAATGCTGCTGTAGGGCGGAGGGGCATCGCTCACCACGGGGGCCGTCTCACCGAGCTCTTCCTCATTCTGCAACTGAAAAGACCCAGGCACAGTTTAACGACAGGCGGAGAGAGAGACAGGGAAAGGACGTGCTGGTCTCAGGGGAGGGCTGAACGCAGCCYGGGCTTCCCCAGCTGCAGGACATGGGCAGGGGTCCCGATGGCACCGCGGTCTTGGCGGGGCTGCCCTGGCACATCACGGACCCACGTGCCAGCCAGGCCAGCGTCTGCTCGCCTGCCCATTTCCCCCAGCTTCCCACGAGCTGGAGCTGCCACTGCCCGAGGTCAGAAGAGGAAAGAGCAGGAGATACCAAGAGCAGACACCAAGGCTGCCCGTGCCTTTGCCAAGGAGGGTTTTTTCAGTAGATATATTACATAACGACACATGCAAGTACAAATTTTGCCATTCCCCCTCACCCTTTCACACTACACGACTGAAAGGCAGACAGCCTATGTATCGCACCGCGCTTCCCAYGGGCTCTGTATAAATAACCTCAGAGCTGGTGGCGCAGGGAGCGCGGCCCTGCACGAGCCGCTGCCGGCAGGAGCAGCCGCGCCGCCTCGCACATCGGCTGCCATCTAAACTCCTTCCTCTTCCCCTTTCACATCATCTCCTGAAAACACAAAATGAGCTGGTAAACAGCAAGTCGATCCCTAGGAAAAATTTTCCTTGGGATTGAGCCACTTGTCTGGGTAGAGAGATACCACCCTCCTTCAGAGTCCTCCTCAAGCAACAGCAACTTTGTGAWGTCTTCCTTCAGGCCGCACCAGCTCTCCCTCGTGCAGACCAGCACTAGCACTCCAGGAGCCATCTATGACCTTTGCCTGCTTCTGGAGAAACATCCAGGGCCTTTTTCCACTGCAGCATTCAAGCCCTTCCCAGGATTTAAGGAGTGGGGTGAAGGCACTTTTTTGCTATTATTACTACTACTAAACTTTGCTCTTCTATTCTTCCATTTGCTTATCTTAGGGTTAGCTCGCACCTCTAAAGGAAGGTCTTGTTCTATACCTAACTGTTCTGCATCATCCCTTCTGGATCAAAGGCTCAAACTCCATCCATGTCTTTCACATCCCCGTGAAATCGCCTTCACATTCATCAGACTCATGCAGGGAAAGCCCCCCACACATCCCCACCGTTGACCCCCTAGACACTTGCTGGGAAGCACAGCCACCCACACACACCCCTCCACAGCTGCCTTACCACCACAGCAAGGAAACGGGAGAGCAATTTTTCAGCTAAAAATCAAAGCAAATCCCCTGTTCTTAAGAGCTGAGAGGTACGCAGCAGAAATACCAGAGGGCCTGGACACAACGCTAGAGGAGAACAACAATCCAGTAAAATGCAGAAAGGTCAAGCCAATTAATTCAGTCTCTTGCAGCTCTGCTTTCTAAGAACTTTCCGGAATTCCTCCACCAGGCTCATTTTCAGCCTGTCCTTGAAAATTCAGCAATTCCACACGACCTTCTCTCCTGTGCACAAATGACCCAGGCAGTTACGAATGACAAGGGGCTCTGCTGCAGATGCTCTCCAGGTGCTCTCCAGGATGGCAGAAAATTCCCAGCTATATCCCTAATAATCCCTAAACCCTTTTCAAAAGAAAGGGAGAAAGAAAAGAAAACAACCCAAACATGCAGAGGAAGGGGAAAGGATAGCACTAAATGTTACAGCCCTGCCAGAGATGAAACAAAAACACCCACAGAAACCTTAGGGTATTATAAACTCTTGCAATCTCCTGCCAATAAAAAGATACATATTCTTACAATTAAATTACATAAAAGAAAGCAAGCTGGACTTACTGCTGGCTTGGAATCACTAAATTTAAGCAACAGCACAAAAAACGCAGCTACTTTGTAAGAGCAAGCTGGAGGCTCTGTCAGGTACACAGCTATAGAAAACAACTTTTCCCTCTAATGGACAAGCCACACAAATGCCTCCCAGCCCTTTCAATGATTGCAGGCATCTAAACACAACCAAGAGCTTATTAGCGAGGCCGCCGGGGTTCATGTGACAGGAAGGATGAATCATCGGGTCTCAGCCGGCCGCGCTGCCCAGCCAAGCCGGGGCTGCCACCAGGTAGACGCTGTTAGGGCTCGTGTAACGAGGCTGTGGGGGCAACYTGCCCTTCGGGCCACCACGAAAGCCTTCGGAACCAGGAGGATCCGATTRGAGCAGGGCTTGGTTGAAGTTCTGCTGAGGCTGCTTCTTACCACTCCTTTCACTCACTGATGGATGTTGGATTTTGAAGCATGGCTCTTGGTGTTCTGCTTTACAAGTAAACACAGTCTTTACAGCAACATATGCAGTTATTAAAAGCTCGGCCGAGTTATTTTCTCAGAGGATTATTGAAATATCCAAACCGTTGCCTGAGAGAATGGGATAAGACCCAGGGACGTTCAGTGTCCAAAAATGTCACCAGCAATTTGGCTCCGAGAGACACTGCCTCTCTCTGTCACTGCCCCCAGCTGACACCTATCAAATATAAGTACAAGCACAGTAGCATTAAAGCTCAGCACCTAGAGAGTTATTTGAAGTATTTCCAGTCCTAATTTTGAAGAAAATATTTCCATAAATACATTTAATTCTTCCAAATTTTCTAACATACCGGCTGCTGACCCAGCACGGGATCTCTTGGGCCTTTTGTTTTTTAAACCTTCCCTTAACAGCAGCCTTTAGGCTACAAAGAGCCCCAAGACAAAGCTCAGTGAAATGCCCTGTGCACAAAGCAGTGCACGCACATATTTTTTCTCCTAAACCAGGATTACTACAAGCTCCGTCCTATGTACGCCTCAGCAGCAACCCCATCGATGTTTAATGCATTTCAGGTCTTATTTTGGGTTCTGTCATGAAAGGCGGAGGTGCAGGGCAATCCCACCGAGGGACCCTCGAGCGCAGCTCCTCTCCTGGCTGTTACTATGGCAATGGGGCTCGCGAGGGTTTTCAAAGGCAGGCAGCTAAGCGAGACACTGAAAAAGAATCAATACATTTTTAAAAAGATGTCAGCACTGACTTTTTTTCAGAAGAACAAAATCCTAACCTTTGCAAACCATTTATAGCCCTAAAAAAGTGCATCCTGACTAAACTGGAGAGCAGTGCAGCAAGTCGCCTGCCTATCCACGGAATGGCTGCATCTCACTGCACTGCAACACCCCTCACTTCCCCCTTGTGCCACTCTCGGCCTTTCTGAAGAAAAGTAAGAGCATTTCTGCCAACCCCAAAGGAAAATCTAATTATTTTACGGACTTAYGCTTCACTTTCAACTTACTGTGATACGAAATCCTGACTCCGGCCCGACGCTGCTGCAGATCCCTATCGCGCCGTATCAGCTAATTAAATCAGCAGAAATAATGACAAGCTCGGAGACAGGCACCCGCCCCGGCAGCCCCCTCCTTGAGGAGCAAATGACTGTTTTCTCCCACGAGCGTTTCTGCCAGCAGCCCTCGAGGCTCTTCCAGCTCCAGCTCGGCCTCCGTCCTGCAAGGTGGCACCGGCGTCTCAACTACCCTCCGGGCTGCTCAGATAAAGACAGGAAAGCAAAAACCAAGGCATCTCCCTGCCCATCACCATACAAGCTGTGCTCTTCACCGCCCTTCTGCTGCTCAGAGACGAGCGGCACAGGGAAGCGATCCGTCTAATTCCACGTGGGAATTGCCCAGCTCTGGCTACAGTGCAAGCGGGCTAAAAGTGACTTAAACACTAGTCATAAAAATAAAATTTAAAAAAAAATAATTGTGATACAAAGAACACTAAATATTTTGATTAAAAAGAAAGAAAAAGAAGTCATTGTGCCATCATATATCAAATCTGGGTCTCTCAGCTCCAGAAAGGCAGCAGCTCAGGGAATGGATATTGTTTTTTTCTTACGAGTTCCAGCAGCAAAGACCCGGAATACACAAAGACAAGAGACCCCAGGACTTGCTGGGGCCACCTTTAAGACATGGTGCCCGCACCAGAGAGGTGGCACCGCTCTTGCCAAGCACGTAACACCCTGAGGGCCTAAGGGACCATCCCGCATGTGCTCCCGCCTCCGAGCCGCACACAACTTTGGTGAGGAGGGAGAGGTCGCAGGGAAACGCAGGGGAGAGCCGGGCACAGCCTGGCACGCGAGACGGYGCCTGCCGCAGCGGCTGCTCTCTGCCCCTACCCCAGCTACACGGCATCACGCTGCTCATGTTGCATCATCTTTCCCAAGCTCTTTGAAATTCAGAGCTGGAATACACTTCATTTCTGTAATTACCTTTTTAGACAGAATTACTAAAACCTTCCAAACCCACGGGATAGGAACTGTCGCCTACAGACGCAGGCGCTGCAGAGCAGAACAGTCCAGTTCCCAGTGCGTGCTTACTGAGACCGTGGCCACCTGGAACAAGGACCGTGCTGCACTAAATGAGTCCAGTTTCAGATAAAATATGGGGCTCACTGGATGCAAGTGAGTACAAAGACTGGCTGAGAACCACACCTAACTTTGCTTTGCACTTTTTTTCTCTTAAATCTTTGAAACTGCTTTGAAGACAGGAGATACTTTCTCTCCAGCTTACACGACTACAAAAAAGACAAAATGAAAGATGCAAAAATCAACCTACCTTGGAAATCACCTTGCCGTTCCTATCAGTTTTAACTATCTTTAGCAAACACATCTTTTGCAAACTGCAAGTAACTTACCAAGGAAATGAATCACGGACTTTGCTAACTCTAACTGCTGACATTAAAAGACACAGCTCTTTCTCAGCTTCTCGTTCTGATCTGCGCACACAAAAACTCTGTTTCTACCCAAAAGCTAAATACGAGCTTAGCTAACAGGTGGCAGCTGACATCTTCCCTGGTATTTCACTTCAGTCTTCCCAGATACTAAGTAAACATTATGGTCTCGTACGGATTTAAAATGCATTTGCATTAAATCTTGGGCAATATGGTTCTTCTCTAGCTTCACTGAAAGAAAACCAAACAAACTGAAAAATCCTCATTCCTTATGTTTTCCATACATACTTCCCATCACAAAGTGATTCATCGTCCACATAAGCCTTCAATAAGTGAGA